TGTTGTTTACTACCACTAAACTTCGTTAAACCTTTCAATATTGGCTGCAGTAAGATGGTATCAACGTGCTCCAATTTTAAAGCCACAATGAAATGAAAGCACGCCGGCTGTTTGCTAGCCTGTCACTGCATTTTATTCGAAGAATAAAGAAGTCACAAACACATCGAAACAGAAAAACGAACTCGGACACAGACACATTTTATTTAGTGACTCTTAATAGCTCTGTTTTAAGAAGATACTGACTATGGACAATAGCAGCATTTTAACTATTTTCATTTCTATTTTACATAAATTATCTCTCACTACTATGACCCGAAGAGAAAGTCTGAAAGTCATGGTAGCTCATAAAGCTCTCTGAAAACCCATTTGACTTTTACATTGTAAATATCTACTTTTCATACGTTCAAAATGCAAACGATAAAAATGTATACAGATAGTAAAATTCACAAATTCACAAAAATTTTATATACAGAATATGTATATGCAGTGATATGTCATTACATTACATTCGTCCGAAAAGAAAGCCAGAAAGTTATTTTCTTACATTTTTTTTTCTCTAATAGACAAGTCGTATGCATATTATGTGAAGAAGAATAATATATATATCGTCAGACAGAAATAAAAGCAAAAGCGGCACCGTTGATTTTAGAGTCACTAATCAGCATTCTGCAATCATGAGCAATACTTTTAGACATATGTATATCAAGGCTTAACTTCTCTATTATCCATGTTTAAAGAATTTGTTAGTTTAGAAAATAAGATATAAGACAAGTATAACTAGATTTATATTATCATATAAAATTCAGACAAACTTTTTCTCAATTGCGTCAGCCTATTATAAGTGATACTTCAGTTTGAATAAATATAATAAATGATAAGACTTATAATTGAGGACATTGCTATATTTTTCAGCAAAAGGTCACTTTTAGTTTTTAAGATATAAAGTTGTCAGTATCACAGATTAAAGATAGTAAAATGGATGGGTTTCAATTTTATTTTTACATAAATTATGTCTCACTACCATAACCCGAAGAGAAAGTCTGAAAGTCATGGTAGCTCACAAAGCTCTCTGAAAACCCATTTGACTTTTAAATTGATATTTTGTCTGTGATATTTTAACTCAAAAGCCAAGCGGTACCTGTTTTAAAAATAGCTTGACATAGCGTACAACTTGGGTACTTCGAACTGCCAGAAAAACTGAAGAAGGATACCTTCGAATGTCTTAACGTTTTAATCTGAGAAGTTGCCAGAATAAACACTAATTTCATAGTGAGTGGAATATTCCTTTTGGATAAAACGCTTAAATTTGTTCTTTTCTTCATTTCTTGCTTTATATCTCTCTCTATAGTGTGCATGGACAGAGAAAAATATCAAAGCAAAGAAAACTGACAGAAAAGAGAACGGCGAAAAAGCGACAGCTTTGATGTCTACTGCTGAATATAATTTAAGATACCGTGAAAACCTACAGCGGAGCCCACGGGTCCAAAAAGCGAGAGTACCCCACCCCGACGAGAACTTTACGCAGTACAATGTAACTCGTCGCGATAATTCCGAATATCTGAGTTACGAAAATTCCGTTTCTCTACATAAAAGCATCAAATTTTGGTATGCAGGTTTAAAACTGAAATTTTTAGTGATACAATCAAACGTATACAAAGCGAATCGAAACAATTATGGCGTTACCAACGATTTTTACTATATCAGGAATATTCGAAGAAAACAGTATTACCACCACCGTTAAATACAATTTGTTATTTATTTCGTACGCTACGCTTCGTTTATAGGCTTTGTTGTCCAGATAAGGAGACATTTGGAAGCGAATCAAATTCTAATCGTCATATCGCCGAGACTGGATGCTTGAGTTGTTGTAAAACAGTAGCATTCATTGCTCCACTCAATACACGACCGCAAAATCCAACAGATAATAGAATAAACAGGATGTACACAGCTATCTCAATCGATAGTGCTCGAATGAACGACTACGTTGAAACATATCAGATGAGACATGAAAAAGAAATAGCCGAAGAGTATTGGAAAAAGATTATTATGTCAGATGAGAAAAAACAAAAACGAAGCGAAAAAGGGCATACAAAGTGAGAAATCGTTTTCAAAATAAATCAGTTTGAAATTAAACGTTTTTCTATTATTGTAGGGTAGAAAACGAAGTTAGTAAAATGAATCAAATAATGGAAAGAGAGAAGAAGCAAATACATGTGAGTTTTAGTGTGTTTCTAAAGTTTAAATAACTTAATTTGCTATAAATATGCATTGATCATTTCTTAAAGGTTAGTAAAAAAATGGAAGCAATTATTAAAGGTGTAGTCAATGACCAATATAAAAAGTTGCTGGAGGATAAATGCGATGCACAATTCATTCAACGGCGTCCGTCTGTGTCCAATGATGAATTAACTGAGAACATGATCACAGCACGAACGAGAGAAAGAGCAACGACATAACCCAAAACGAAACGGCTGCATCATCAATCAAAAATATTTCCTGAAGACTCGTTCAACATTCATTCGCAACCAGAATTGGCCTCGAATCTGACATATTTGCGTTGCACGATAGAACGATTAAAGTACATGTTTTAATAATTCAAGTATTATCCATTCGTCTGTTAAGAACTCCAGTGATGTTAATTAATTTTTTTATGATCTTGTTATTGGAATGCAGCGTTTATCGTTGCGTAGTTTGTTGATAATTGGTTAAACAATAGAAATGCAGTTAACATGTAATATGTATTATTCCATCTTGTTTTAGCATCTAGATATAATGTCCGTTTGAGTTTCGGATATAGTAATTTTCTTCGTCCACGTATGATGACAATATCGATGATGTATCGGATTTCACTGAACCATGGAAAGTTTCTAAGTTTGTCGTTTTAAACAAACTTAAACCAGAGATCTCCTAGTGTGATCAAACCAGGCCGACCTCTTTGCTGTCTACCCGTTCAAAAATCTACGAGAAATTTCTTCCTCAAAGAATTAAAAAATGGTCAAACAGCAATTCGATTCTTCCGCCTGAACAATCCGGCTTTCGTCCGAAGTGTCTATTACCAGTTAAAGTACTGTCTATGTATCAAACCACAGATAATAATCTTGAGCCCCTCAGAAATGATGATTTTCGGTCAAAAAATCGGTTTTGAGATACGCGCATGGCAAGATAGCCTGAAGTGTCTACTTCCAGAATCGGTACTGTTTTTGGTTACAAAACTGTTTTTTCGGGGATTTTGCGCAAGTTTTCTAGGAGCCTCGAAAAACCGGGTCTTCAAATAATAGCTTTTTCGTGGATACTTGTGCAATTAAAATTTTTCTGAACGCACAGGTTTGTAGAGCAAACGTTTTTTGATCAGAATAAGACCTCGCACAACTCTGTATGATCTTGTGTCAAAAAGTTACAGGCATTTTCCTAGAAGTCCTAAAATCGAGTATTTCATACAGCGTTTAATACATCTTTTTCTCTATATAAGAGTTACACCTCAAGCGCGTCCCAAGATTTTTAATAGCGGTTTATCGTAGAGAGTTCGTTTTTTTTTCAAGATTTTTTGTTTCAAAGATGTTTCAAACAGGAAAAGAAACTACATGGACTGACCGGCGTCGATTTTTGAATTAGATCTTAGTTTTTTGTCAAACTGAGGATTTTTCGAAAATCCGAAAGGCTTTTTCGTGTTTTGGAGGTTGTTGCTTGTCTGGAAAACCAATAAAAGCTTAATTGAAAAATCGGTGTCGGTTAGTCCATGTAGTTAGGTGTCTAGTTTAAAATAAAACAAATCCGAACTCTCCAGCTTGAAGTATATTAAAAAACATTGGGATGCACTTCAGGGTCCTTTTTGGACGTTGATCACTGGAAAACTCCTAAACGGTAAGACTTTGAGACAAAAACATTTTTTCATTCCCGTAACTCATTGTGCCTAACATTTATGGAAAGTTTCATCAAGATCGGATGTACGGTGTGGGAAATAATTTCTGAGAAGGAGCGGGCTTAAGGAAAATGTGCCGTCGTTGGTCATATATGCTGATTACAAAGAAGCTTATGACAAATTTTTATTATTAAGTTGTTTAAGTTAGGAATGCCGTTGAACCTTTTAAAGGCAGTCTGAAACTGACTACAAGCAGGCAGACAAGCCAGAGTTATTTTTGGGAAATGAGGCTCGAATCTTTTTGTAATCGGAATAGGTTTATCCAAGACAAATGAAGGATGGCAGAGTTCCTACAATTCTAGAATTCTACTCCAATACAGCAGAATTGAACAATGCTGTCTACGTGCTTCTAAACATTCAATTCTATTACGATCCAAGTACAATTCTATTCCAATTCAGCTGTAAAAATATTCAATTTTGCTTAACTTGATTAGTCTACTTACTTTTCCAATGATGAGGCAGAATTGAATGTTTAGAAGTACGTAGACCGATCAAGTTAAGTAGAACTGAATATTTTCACAGCAGAATTGAAATAGAATTGAACTTAGCTCCAGTAGAATTGAAGAATGATGTGATAGAATTGGAGGTTTTGACCTCGCATGGTTTATAAAAACATTTGTTTGCGATCCGAAATGTTTTATTTCCTACTCACTCTCATGCTGCGTGCCCCAACCCTTTCTTCCTTGCTTTTCCACATTCAATTCTGTCTCATCATTCTTCAATTCTGTTGGAGCTAAGTTCAATTCTATTTCAATTCTAATCTTGCTGACAAGGATTCAATTCTGCATAACTTGATCGGTCTACGTACTTCTAAACATTCAATTCCGTCACATCATTGGAAAAGTAAGTAGACTAATCAAGTTAAGCAGAATTGAAATAGAATTGTACTTAGATCGTAATAGAATTGAATGTTCAGAAGCACGTAGACATCACTGTTCAATTCTGCTGGATAGGAGTAGAATTCTGAAATTGTAGGAACTCTGCCACTGCTGAGACAAATCACTCTTGCCTATTTTCACTGAATTTCATAGTGATTTGTCTAACAAGTAGGGTGCGCACTCAAGCGGGATCTTCACAGACAACTTCCAAGTGACAATAGTTAGTTCCACCAATCAGACTAAAGTTCAATCAAACGTTAAGATATTTAGAAGAAGAAGGCAGAGACGGTGCAACAGAATTCTTCAGCATTCTATTGACCACGAGCAACCTATTAATCATAGTAGAACGGTTTTTCAGATATTTCATTCCCAGATTAAGAGAACCTCTATTTCTTTGTCTATGGCGGGCATTAAGTTAGAGCAAGTCATAACTTTTAAGTATCTGGATTTTCGTTGATTAGATAAGCTGTCTCTAAAGTCCGCTCTAAACGACGCGGTAGACAAAATTTTAAAATCTGTTGTTAAGTTAAGGTGGTTAGCAAAATGTAATTATTGTTTAAGTAAGTTAAGGCGACAGGGTTTTTTTGCGTACTCTCCCTTTTTCTCGTGGTTCTCTACCGCGCACCGTCGTCGGATTACTAAATAGGAAGTTCAGGGTGGGACTTCGCCTTGTGCATAGGTGTCCTTACGCCGATGTCTATGAACTTTTCGACCTATGCGAACAGGAGCAGTTAGATTACTATGTTGTTAATTATTTAAAAGTAGATTATTGCACTTCTATGATTCTGATTCGTGCAACTCCCCTATCCTAGAAGATGTATTTTATTGGGACTGTAAAAATAAAAAAGACTGAAAATAGGGCACCATTTTTCTGTCAAGCTAGCCATGATATCAGCACGGAGTCCATGGTGATATCATGGCTAGCTTTGGTTGATGATAGAGAGGGTAAAATCTCGCTCATTTTCCTCTGTAATGTGTAAAGTTTAAATGCGTATAACTGTATATTAATTTACTTTTTTTTTGCCAATTAATGTAGTTCAGTACGTGCTCAACTACAGTAGTATATAGCTTATATCTGTGTTCTTTAATAGTACTACATCGTATAATGTCTACGTTTTTCTTCGAGTAAGACTTCATCCGTAGGGGTCAGAGACTCATCTGTCGCGTTACGACTTGAAGGCATCTACATTCTGACGTCGTGACTGTCACAGTTACCCATAAAGAAAATGTTGAGCTCAACAAGCTGAGCTAGAGAAAGTGTTGAGAAAGTATTGAACTTAGTCTAAAAATGAATCTGGAAATTCTTTTATGAAAAATCTTGATTCTTCTTAGCGAAACTGCATCCAGTATAGTTTTTCTGTTGAAGATACCTTTGCGATTGTGAGTTATAACAATAGGTAAGTCGTCCATCGAGTATTTCTTTAATTAGAACAAATGATTTCACTATAAATCCCTGCCTAGAGTAAAAGACCACTGGTATTCTATTGTCAAACCATGAATTAAAGAGTGGTCTCTATGATAGGCATTTTTTTTATTCCTCTTTACAGTAGGTAGCATACATCAGTTATTACACTGAGTTTTGCACTGCTGACATCGTTTATTTCCTATTACAAAGTTTTCATATAAAAATCATTCATCATATAAAATTAAAAAATATAAATCATTTTTGTCAAATAATTAAATAATGTGCTCTGCTTCATTTTAACAGGTTTTTTCAACGTAGTGGTATGATCATTTTGCCAATGATCCATTTTTCTTAGTATTGGTAATAAGAATAAAACATACAGTGATCATGTACTATGCACTTTTTATGTTCAAAAGCGCAGCGAAAGGTATCGATAGACTTTCTCTTTCCTCGGCAATTATTTTCTTACCGTAATAGATATACGTTGAGCTGAGAACCTGAGCATCTGAATAATCAGAATCAAATGATCCTATCTATCATTATATCATGTATTACATCAAAAACCATTAAAGATTTATCAACAGGATACGAAACAGAGTTTACAAGTAAGTTCACATTTGTTGTTATGTACATGTAAAATTTCAAATGTACTTTAATCGATTTATTGATTCTCGAAGAAAGCTATTGTTCACGCATGTGTATAATGGTATTTGCTAAAATCTTCACTATATTGGTACTACGAATAAAAGGCAACGATACTAAACGTGTGCCATAGCTGATGACTTACTTTCCTATTCAAAATATTCAAGAATAAATCGCTCAGGAATTCTAATCCAAAGAGAAGATATTCCAACGCCAAATCCGGCATGAAACAGCCCGATCTTGTCGATGAAACATGGAATACTTTTGAAACCTCTTTCGTCTCGAGATTTGTTTTGTCATGAATTTTAATCAAGTTGTACATGGAAGCTTCAAAAGACAGGACTTTTAAAGAATATTAAGTATCATACTACAACAGCAGTGTATCCGATTTCTGCTGGACAGGGAAAACAGTCAAGCGATAAGCCCATATCATTGTTCGGTAGGAAAAATTCTAAAGAATTTTCTTCCGCTCTATGAACACACCTACGGATGATTTCCATGAATTATTATAATGTT